CCCACACAGCTATAGGTGTGTGGTGTTTTCAAAGTGTTGACCACAGAAAGATCCTTACTGTGACAGTACTGTCCACCTCTGTGGTTTTTATGATGCAGTTTGATGTCTGATTGCACTGTGAAATGAAAGCATGGCATGAAAAAGAATTCATGGAATCAGTTTATAGACCAAAATGTATTCTAAGCTTTTGCACCTTTGCAGATATAACAGCTGAACACAGCCGTGGCTTCTTTCTACGACAGAAATCAAATCTTCTCCCATATCTGTGGCAGAAGTTCCCATAAACGTGGACCTTGTAGCTGCTTTGCTTTCACTCTTCTGTTCATCCCAAAGCAGCTCGATGGGGTTTAAGTCTGGAGACTGTGCTGGACCTCTGTGTTTTCAAGCTCACCATCTTGTTCTTTTTTCCTGAGGTGGTTCTGGCACAGCTTGGATTTATGTTTTGGGTCATTATCCTGCTGTAGGATGAACGCCTGACCAACTAGGTGCATACCAGAGGGTCCTGCATGGTGTTGCAGAACACATTTAAAGTTGTGTTCCCTGAAAAAGGCCATTTTGTATAATAATGTACATCATTTTTCAGTTTTATGTGACCTTTGTTTAACTTCTGTCAGTTCACCACTTACGTTTGAACCATTTCAAGTAATTCGTTGGACTTGAACAACTTGAATTGGCATGTTCAACAAGCTTTGAGCAGTAAATGTCTGTATATATGTTAACAGATACTGTCTGTACTCATGTGTCTCTCTCTCTCCAGACCACTCGCAGTGACTTTGACTCCAGTGAGTACGAGGTACGGCGACGCTACCAGGATTTTGTGTGGCTCCGTAGCAAACTAGAAGAAAAGCACCCCACACTAATCGTCCACGTACGTATCAGCTCACCAGGTCACTGCTCTGCACAGCTGCAGGCTGCTGCATGCTACTGCGAGGCATGTGCATGCGTCAGTTCATTCATCCACAGCCACAGGCTGTAGGAGCATTTCTGAGGTTCCCTTTCTTTGCTTTCTGTTGGAACGTGAAAGATTGTTGAGGTCTGAAGTTCAAGCAAAGCCACCGTCCTCATGTCCAGCTCTGTATGTGTGTGTTGGTTAGGTTAGGAGCTACTCTTAGATGTGTTTGTCATAGAGAGGATATCTCTCATGTGGTCGCCTCAGGCGTGTAGCCCCACCCACCTGCTCATGCAAAGCTGCTCTGCTAGAATTGACCAATGAAAATAGTCTAATGCATCTCGCCGTCTTCTGCACTTTTATGGACGAACTTGTGTAAATCGGGCGACGTGGAGCAGCTCCCGGTCTGATATCGCCGTCGCTCACACTTCTCTCGTTTCTGTCTCCAGCCCCTCCCAGAGAAGTTTGTTATGAAAGGCATGGTGGAGCGCTTCAACGACGACTTCATCGAGACGAGGAGGAGAGCCCTGCACCGCTTCCTCAACAAGATATCCGAGCATCCCATCCTGTCCTACAGCCAGCACTTCCAAGTCTTCCTCACTGCACAGGTGTGTGTCTGACACACACACACACACACACTTCTGGTTTTAGAATGAACTGATTTGTGACTCGTGGTATTTTGACCCTCTGAGTGTGCGGCTCCTCCAGGATCTGGCGCCTCACAGGAAACAGGGACCGGGCTTCTTGAGCAGGATGGGGGAGACGGTGAGAGCAGTGGCCAACTCAGTCCGAGGCCTCAGAAGCCGGCCGGAGGAGTTTGCTGTGATGCAGGAGTACGTGGACGACTTCAGTAACAAGATGTGCTGCATGGACAAAGTCACCCAGAGGATCGTCAAGGAACAAAGAGGTATCCGTCTGTCTGTTCAGAGGTATTCCCAATCCATCTGTCCAGCTCAGTGAGCTCCAGGCTCTCCTCCCAGAAGGACACGGCTCTTATTCCTCCATATCTGCTTCCTGGCACCCTCTGTACATCTCATATAGTGTACACAGTTTAAGCTGCTTTAGCCTGCATACAGCTGCAAGCTGCTTTACAACCCAGCACAGCTCCTCCCCTCATGTTGACCCAATGAGTGATGTCATGACTGCACATGACAACACGAGTCTTCTTTGGAGGAGAGTTCCTCTTATTGAGGGCACAGTATCTCTGTATGCAACATATTCATGTGCACATATTGTAACCAGTATCCATGGTGTCACTGATCAGCTGTGCAGGTGAATTGTGGGTAATACATGTTTTCGGTCTAAGTGAAAAACTATTTCTCATACTCTGTTCATCAGAGATGGGCGCGTTACTGTAATCTGATTACTTTTTCAAGTAACGAGTAAAGTAAGGGATTACTATTGCAAAAACGGTAATTAGATTACTGTTACTTTCCCGTAGGAACGCTGCGTTACTGCGTTACTAAAACCGTGATTTTTTGAGAGAGTATGAGCGTGCAGCGTTTAAAGCGTGGAAGTACTGACCTTACTTTGAGTTTGATTCCATAAAAAGTGACAAAAACATTAGTGTCCGTTGTGCGTGGGAAGAAAACTTCTTTTTACAGCGAAAAAACCCCTAAACTTCAAACAAGCACCGAGTAGCTACGACGTAATGGGAAACTCACAGAGAAACTCGCGGATTCTTCCACTGACCGCTGCACACCTGCACCAGGGTAACCCTCCGCCTACCCCACTCCTGCTTTACAGGTGAAAATAGAGCAACAGGACCGCTAGTCTTTGACTTTATTTATTTTCTGCTGTGTTTTACTTGCATCTATTTGAAAGACTGAGTGTAAACACACAAAATATTTTATGTGCTGGAATGTGCAGAAAATAGGTTTAAATGTTAAACTAATTCTTCCAGTCAGAGAATGTTGCAGATAATTAAATGTTTGCTTGATGCATAAAGTTAAAAGATTAAAACTAATAAAACAAGTTTTAAAAAGAGACTTTTCCATTTGATTACATTTTGTATGATGATTATGTAGAAAAAGTAGAATTGGGCTGAAAGATCTATCACTTTATCACCTATTCAGGTTGTAAATCGTGTTTATAAAAAGTAACTAAGTAACTAATTACTTTTGAAAATAAGTAATCAGTAAAGTAACGGGATTACTTTTTTGGGGAAGTAATCAATAATTAGTTACTGATTACTTTTTTCAAGTAACTTGACCAACACTGCTGTTCAGACTTTGTACTTTCTTATTCACTTTAATACAGATTTTACTGTTTTTTGTATTTTAATTTATTAGAAACTATTTTAATCGACTGTTTTGTTGATGTCATTTTCTCTTTGTAAGGTGACCGTGGGTTTTAAAAAGGCTCAAATAAAATGTATTGTTATTAGTAGTAGTAGTAGTATGGCATCAAGCCAGTTAAACTGGCGTAGTGATCTGGTCCCATCTGCAGGGCTCCTCTGTGGCAGGACGAGCAGTGGCAGAGCTACAAATGACCTCCTGCAGGCCGCCGTTAGTGCCTCTAACCACACAATGAGAAACTAATTGTGTAAACGTGTGTGTTAGAGGGAAAAGTGCTTATATGAACGGGTGTCAGTGGGTTAGTGAGGTAAGTTATACTACAGGCGTCTGTGGGTCTGCGTCCAAACTACCGAGCAGCATTTTGCCACATCGTTTTCTCACTTTGATCTTCAGGCTGTCAGAGTTGATTCAGCTTCCTCTCCTAACACGTGACCCACTCGTGTCAGTGCAGACAGCAGCCGCTCACATGTGATGTGTTCAACACTTCCTGTGACCTGCTGCTGCGTAGCTAACAGCACCACCCGGTCTGAAAACGAGTCTTTGTGTTTTGTGCTTCCAGAGTATGTGGACGAGTTGAAGCAGTACAGCCCCACCTACGCCCGGTGGGGCGAGTTGGAGGAGGAGCTGACGGAGCCGTTGAAGGGCGTGGCCAGCTGTGTGGTGCAGTGCAGCAAGGAAGCAGAAGAGCACATCCAGCATCTGTCTGAGGTCCTCGTCCCCGCCCTGCACGAGTATGTGCTCTGCGCTGAAACGCTCAAGGTGAGGCATGAGCACGCTTCACCTGTGCTGGCGCTCTGCAGGCGGGGCTTGATGCAGAGCAGCAGTAAGACGAGGCGTGATGTCAAAGTTGAACGCCGAACACTGGAAGCGCTGTGCGCTCATTCAGGGGAACCGCGGCGTTCCCTGTCTGGGAGCCGTGATCCATTGGTATCCAGACTCCAGGGTCAGGCATTGAACCGACAGCCTGTCCCACCTCCTGAGCAGCTTCTCCTCATTGTGTTTCTCTTCATATTCAGCATGTGCACTGACAGCAGGTCTCTGGTGGTTTGTGCAGGCTGTGATGAGACGCAGAGACAACATCCAGGCAGAGTTCGAAGCCAAGAACGAGGCTCTGCTGACCAGGAAAGCGGAGCAGGAAGCAGTAAGTTTAATTTGATCCACACATGCTGATAAAAGCACGCACACACTTTCCTCCTCGCCTGCACGTGTCCGAGCCAGCCGGTCGTCTCTGAGATTAGCTGTAATAACGTGAGGTGTGCAGCGGGCCTCTCTCGCAGGGCCGCCCTCGCCTCATATTGGGAAGTGGAGAGGGCTCCCTGGGAGGATTATCTAAATATCCCTGCTTGGCTGAAGTCTGTGCCGAGCTCAGAGTGAATAAAAGCTGCTGATATTACTTCCTGCCGCGCGCTGACAGCTGATCGTGGCAGGAGCAAAATTCCTTCTCAGATGACGCGTCGCTTCGTAATGTCAGGACGCAAAGACCCGAGAAGAAAGGCGTCTTCGTGTGTGTGAGACCTGCAGGTGTCTGTCCCCTCATCAGGCCAACACGCAGGCCCATCTGTTAGATGTTAATTAAGACGCTGTGCTTCCCCCACAGACCGCCGTCGTGCTTTGTGTGAGCGCTGATTTAATCCAGCCCTCCAGGTTGTGTGTCAGCCGCTAACGACAGACCTGCACTAATGAGAAGTGAATGTCAGAAAGGCTGAAAGACATGCAGCTTCAAGGTGTTGTGGCGGCGTGCACAACCACATAAGCATCCACACAAACATGCTGTGTGAGCATCGTAGTGGACACACTGGCGTTGTGCGTTGGAGAGAAAGATGTGATCAGATCATTGGAGATCAGGTCTAATCACGCTGTTCAGCTCACCTCCAAACATTTGTTCTCAACAGGAAGCACAAACAGTGCATGCTGGGAAAGTGTCGTTCTCAATGTTTCTTCAGGGCAATCAAACAGGACGTCAGAAGGAGTCCGGCTTGTGCGGGCTAGCTCTGATCTTCACATCTGTCAGCACATCTGGTCCTGACTCAGCTGCTGACCCACTGGCTGTGCTTCCTCCACGTAGCTGCTTTACATTTGACCTAAAGCCTGCGTCATTATGACCAAACTTCATCACTTAGTTAGCTGACAGCCGAATGCTGCGAGCAGCTGTGACACAGCCGAGGTCACTGAGTACGTTCATGCTCCCTCTGAGCTTCTCTGCAGGTTGATTGGCCTCATCGTTTCTTCTGAGGCCTCGAGTGATGTTTTGTCAGGTGAGAACCTCAGAGCTGCAGGTTGTGACTCCATCGTCCACTGAGCTCAGACTGGTCCACATGTGATCTAACAGCTCCCATCACACAGGATGCTGCAGGAGCTGGCTCTCCGTCACCAAGGAAACCAGAGCCTCCTGTGCACCTACTAATAATTTGCTCAACCAGCAGTGAGGTCAAAGCAGAAAGCAGCCAGCTATCATAAGCAGGCCCTTACCTCTCACATCCTTCAGGTCTTTTATTTTGAAAGTGCACACTGTTACGTTCTTGATTTGTCTGTGAACACCGAGCAGCTTTGGTGTTTGAACCCATCATGCAGATGCAGCGCTGAGAAGGGATCTGATTGGTTAGTGGACTCTGTAGTCACATGTGACTGAGCTGCTGGACACAGCACGCAGTCTGTGTGTGAGTCTGTGTCAGCTGACCACACTGACCAATAAGACGAGAGGCTCCTCAGACATCGCACATTAAACTTCCTTCTAGAACGTGACGGGAAGAAATGCTCGACTTTATGAGTCACGTATTAGGCTGTGTGTGTGTGTGTGTGTGTGTGTGTGTGTGTGTGTGTGTGTGCGTATTGTGGCCAGCAGGGGGCACTGTTATCTAAGTGAAGTGCACACACTGACCTCTGGCTTTCATGTGCTTCACTGAGAGTGATGAGGTGAGTGTCTGTGGCAGGAAAACTCCCAGCATGCACTCTGCTCCCACAGTAACGCACCAAATATCACAGTGACATGAAGTAACTGCTGCATCTTCTACACTGGTGTGTGTGTGTAAATGCTTTGCCAGGTGAAAATAGTTGTGGAATAAACAGCTTCACACGATTGCAAACAAGCACACACCTACACAGGTACAAGTACATGTTCCTGTGTACAGATACATGTACCTGTACAGGTGTAGCAGGTGCTGTTAGCACAGAGGCTGTGGGAGGAGCTCAGGGACACATCAGGACGTCGTGCTTCCATAATGAACACTAACATGTCAATAAGCTTAACGTGTGTTTGGCGGCAGCTTCAGGAGGAGGTGGATGTCCTGGCAGATCGGATGGAGCAGGCCAACAACAGCCTGAAGGGAGACTGGGCCCGCTGGCAGCACAGCATGACCTCTGACCTCAGATCAGCCTTCATCTCTGCTGCAGAGAAGAACGTGGACTACTACGAGAAGGTGAGAAGCTTAGACGCAGCACGCAGAGACACCTTTCATCTCACCTGACTTTGGTTTGTATCGTTGTGCGCTGTTCAGGTGAGTGTGAGAGCAGCTGCTGTTGAAGTGTGTGCTCAGCAGCAGAGGCTCAGAGTCATTTGTACCTACACGACACTCTGACTGTACTGATGACAGACTTCCATTCAATTCATTTTCACATCCGGAGTCATTAAAATGTGTGTTGTGTATGCCCACGAGCACACGCTGACTGATGCATGCTTGTGTAAACTGAGTGAGGAGCACTGAGATATTATTGCAGACGGTGAAGCAGAGACGCTGGTGGAGCAGAGACGCTGGTGGAGCAGAAAGCTCTCACAGCACTCAGTTGGTTGTAGCCCTGCAGTCTCCACCCAGACACGCCCCCAGCAGGGGGCAGCAGCTCTGCCTGCAGTCCGCTCTGTGCTTCATGGTGCCACATCCTGCAGGTAGAACACTGACTCCACCTCTCTTAGCTTTGGAGATGAAACTGCTCCCACTCGTCAGCGTGACACAGATCTTCTGTGGATTGTTCTCGGCTCCACTGAGCAGTGGAACAAAGGCTGGTCTTACTGCTGTAGACGCCGTGTGTGCTGCTGAGCGCACTGGTCCTGGATCAGATACCGGGCTGGATTCTCCACATTGTTTGGTGTTAGATTAGACACATAAGACCCGGACAGGAAGTGACTGGCCTTCCTTTATCTTCACCAACACACTGAGCTGGATGAGTGGAGGTCAAGCCCTGACTGAGTGGAGCTGAAACAGGAAGTGATCGCCACACTGCAGCATGTCCTGCTAACTCACCTCCTTCATACAGTAATCTGAAGAACTCAGTCAGGACATGTTATCAGTGCTAAAGGCTGTGGTGTTGGTGGTTCTGCTGCCAAGTCCACATGTAGTAATAATAATAATGGATTGCATTCATGTAGCATTTATACAGCGCTTTTCGAAGCCCTCAAAGCGCTTTACAATTCCACTCTTCATTCACTTCATTCAGCGAGGCTGCCATATCGCGCCACCGGGCCCTCTGACCACCACCAGTAGGCAACGGGTGAAGTGTCTCGCCCAAGGACACAACGACCGAGACTGACAGAGCCGGGGCTCGAACCGGCAACCTTCCAGTTACAAGTTAAACTGGACCTTTAGTTCATTTCATTTGGAATATTTCAGAAATATTAACCAAACTCAAAGGTGGACATTATTTCTGTGTTTTCATGAGTGAATATAAAAGTGAAGGCCTTGAGAACGTGTTCTCATGATTGTGTTGATTGTTGTTTCGGTGTTCTGAGCTCATGTCAGTGGTTTGAAGTGGAAAAACGTGTCACACACTGAATGTGCCAGCTGAGCGTGTGCTGAATGCTCAGTGAATACCTGACACTGTGTCCTCTGCAGGTGGTTTGTGTGGTGGAGGCTTCGTAAGCATGTGCAGCGTGCAGCGCTCTCTGTTGTCTCGTGTCTCGCTCAGCAACACTGGCTGATGGCAGCTTACACACTGAGTCTAATAATCAACAGATGAATTTATTGGATTAAATCACTGTGAGCATCAGCAGCATTTTCCAGGATTATTCTGGTTTCAGGATGCCCCGCCCTCCTGCTCTGAAGCCCAGTCACAACAGCAGTCACATCCAGCTGCTCCAACACTCCAACAAAACAGACGTGGAAGTGAAGAAAGGCTCAGACAGGATCATGAATGAAGATGGAAATCAGAGTGTTGGTGTTGAACGCTGTCAGTGCTCCACAGGTTGGAGGTCAGCGGGAAGAGAAAGGGGAATCCTGGAAAAGTTGGATGAAGTGGAGGAGAGGGTCCTGGAGACGGCAAGACTTCAGTGACTTAAACAGAGGTGATGAGGAGGTGCTGGGTAGGTAAGAGAGGTGCTGAAGGAGACATGATAGTGGATTTTGTGAATATCTACAGTGAACACTTCAAGAACAGGGAGATAAAGTATGAAGGTGGAGCCGGTGAATAAATGATGGAAGCAGAGTTCAGCTCTGGGTGGTCGGGACGAGCAACCAGATGATGAGAGAAACTGCCAGTAAGGTGTTTGGTGTTTCCTCTGAACAGAGGCAGGAGGCTCAGGATGCTCCTGGTAGCTGGTTTTTAACGTCTGAGTTTCAGACTGGTCAGTTCGTCTAATCTTTTCTCTTCTTTACTCAATTCAGTTACATTCGAGGTGTTTCATGGACAGTCAAACTAATAACGAAGCATCTGAAACCAGTCATCACATTCTTCAATAATGAACATGTGCAGCGCCTCGTATCGTGCTTTATGATCATTACACCTTATAAGAAAGTAGACCCGAGGACTGGGAGGAAAGAGCTGACGTGTGTGAGCCTGGACTAAAGTCCAGTGAAACCAGGAAGTCTGGATCAGGTCTCTGTTTAAAAAGTCCTAATGTCTGATCCTATCATAGACGATGCAGCTGATAGGTGAAAGGAGCTGTAACTGCCTCCTGTGATCTCCTCTAAGCTAATGCTCACTTTGTTCTGATCTTTGAGAGGAGAGAAGCCGGCCTGCCTCTGTGTGGGTATATTGCACTCAGAAACAGTGCGCAGAGGAAAAGCCAAAAGTCATAAATCCAATTTGTGCGTCCACAGTCTTGGTCACACGTCTCATTGGCCTTGTTTTCTACATTTATTCCACATCACATCACATCTTCAGCAGAAGGTCTACATCACTGCCAGCACAAGCTGTGTAATAGCTGAGGTTTGGTTTGGTGTGAGAGCCGTTTGTGTTGTCTTGAGGAACCACAGCACGGCGAGGTGTTGAGGAAGTGATGAGAGCATCAGTGGACAGTATCAGAGTGGCAGTGGGATCAGTGGGCCTGAGCTTCCTGAGCTTCCTGAGCTTCCTGAGCTGGGATCGTTTCACTGGCTCAGTCGTGACTTCAGTGAAACTCTGCGCAGCGACGTTTAAAGAGCAGTTTGCACACTGTGCTCTGGGTTTCATCGCAGCGATCACATGTGTGCACATATTGTTATTCAGGTGCACGTGTGGGCCGTGTGGCCGTGGGGGGCCGTGAATGATTGATTGGTGTGGAGCCCAGAGAGGCTGTGAGGATCTAATAAGAAACCTCCACCTGGGAGGGTTTGATGGCAGCTCAGAGCGACGCAGGCAGGAAGTAAATGAGTGAGGATGGAGAGATCGAGGAAAGAAGGGTGGTGTTGCTAC